GGGAGGAGAGAGAAATGGCGAGGAGCAGGAGAGAGAAAGAGACAACGGTCAACATCAGGAGAATATCACGGCCATTTGTTTTTAAATGAAAATTGTCTACATGTCTTTTATGATTTGTCAAACTTCACCATTTAAGGAAAAGAGGGAATAGCGTTTAAAGACTGAAGGATTTGTGTGCTAGTTGTGCCATTAAAAAAAGCTCTTTGAGCGACAGTTTCAGCGATAAAACCCCCCTACTCTCTTCTAATGTGGTGAAGTTTAACATCTCTACTATAATGAATGAATGAAAAATGAGAAATAAGTTGGCAAAAAAAGGCCAACCTATTGCTCAAGCATGAAGTAAACAATGGGGGAAAAGACAGATGAAGGTAAATGTAGAGAAAGAAGTAGGGATGGTGGCTGCGACAGGGACGGATGAACCCTTTACTTCTTCATCTCTCTCTCTCTCTCTCTCTCTCTCTGCCGTTACAATGACACGGAAGTGACAGCAGAGGGCGCCAAAAGCATAAACACATCAGCAGGTCCATACCTTGACATGGAGGCAGATACTGTACACAGACAAGCTGGAGAGTCGCTTTCAAACCCAAACTATCAAAACTCACACATATCCAGCTCTGTGTGTACCTCACAATGAAAATAGCTGAACAAAGGCACATGAGCAAATAATTGTAATGATGAGCAAAAGGGCAAATTAACTTGTTGGAAAAGTGTTTAAACGGCTTATTCAGAGCCATTTGCTGAGTCATCTGGTTGTGTTTTGAATACAAGGAACAGGGTGGAGAGCAGCACAACCGTTGGCTGGTAGAGCTGGAGCAGATGACTCGTAATCCTGTTAGAGGCTCACAGGCCGGTGCACTGAGGAGCTCTACTCACTACATTTGACATATCATGTGATCACTTGAGAGCTGCACTTTACTGTAAGAAGAAACCTGTTGCATGATACATGTTATTCTCCACATTCAGCAGATATATAGTTTTACTCCTAAATTGGCTCTTTTGAACTTTTTTCAACCTGAACTCTTTCCAACCACCAGACAGACACAGATATACAGGTACATTGTTACATTATGGTCCTTACAGACAGATAACATCGCTGCAGTATGGCACACCAGCACAAAGAAAGCCCTGGAGGGGTGAATTCTGGGAACTGTAGGCTGAACCCAGACCCAAAGTGTGACCAACACCTTGTCCTAATGTCACATCCAGCTGATGGCGACATCTAAATAGCGAGGGGGGTGATTGCTGTGTGGGATGAAAAGCATCCTCACGCCCGTAACCCCCCACATCCTCAGGTGCTCGTGACACTTTGTGAATTGACCCCTTGTCGATGCTCCGTGGGAGGGAACGCCCCAACACAGCTGCAGGACAACGGCCAGCAACGAGAAACCCCAAGCTGATAACATGTGATGTGGGATGAAGTCATCATCCTCTCCGACCATTCGTCCTGTTTCTAACAGAGTGTGATCAATACTGAGCCAGGCACAGACACCGGCCTCCTGTTTTTGTGAGGAAACGTTGCCTCGTTCATTGTGACGACTGAATGAATGCGTCACAAAATGAATTATTATTTGATATAATGAGGCCACTGTATGTGTTGTACCTGGCTTCTACTAATCACACACATCCGCATACGTTCGATATTCATCCACACTCTCTTCCAACCCCCTGAACTACACACACGCACACACACACACACACACACACACACACACACACACACACACACACATCGCTGGTACTCACTGACGCCCATCACACACTTACAACATATTGCCTGGCTTCGAAAGCATATGTGGGTCGACCCAGAGTCCTCTTCATAAGCTCTTTGTGACAAATGAGCGAGCGCGGGGATTGCTGCTGTGGTGGTCGTCGGAGAGAACACAGAAAACAACAGCACTGACGTCTTAAGATCTTATACTGTATATACTGCCTTAATGGGACTCCCAAAACACAAACGCCGTCCTCTTCTTCCTCCTGCACGTAACGCGCAGTTACTGTGGATGGATTAGACGGCTGATATGCAGCAAACAAAAGGCTCTCCTGCAGGGGTGGACATCCCTCCGCTGTGCGGAGAGAGCAACAACCCACCTCCACTGGTGCAACGACTCTAATCCCTAATGTGATGCTATATGCTCTCCTTGCAGGAGGTTGAGCTGATGTACCTGCAGCTGTAACCACAGAGTATAATAGAAAGTAGGCTTTGTATAATGCATTACACAGGGTTTCACATTATGAAAGCATAATGGAACGATATGGCCCAGAGTTATTTATGAATAGGACCTGGACCCCGATTAGTGTCATCAAATGGACTAACCAATTAAAAATAACTGACAATGAGCAAAATAATGCCTCCACAAAAAAAATCGAAATGAAAGATTTTTAAAACCTTCAACAGACTACTTTTATTCTAGGGAGGAAACTGAATTAAAAGCTTTATTTAAGACTGTTCAAAATAATCTTTTCTCCTCAAAATGAACATAGATACTCTGGCCCTGGTCATACATTGTGGCTGGTTTGCTCCGTATGCCCGGATGGATGCAAGCCCGTTTGTGAAAGAGCTGAGAAATTGCCCTGATACTGTACCAGCAGCTGTTCAGGGGCTTTAGCCCAACATGTCTGTGTCAGCAAGGCAGTCGGGCTGCTGTCCCTAAAAGACTTTTTGTTATTTGACAGGATTAAAGATGCACCTTCTGTTGCCTTTTAGTCACCTACAACATACGGTTGATTTATTCCTAAAAGAAGAAATCATTGTAAAAATGTGCTCTATTATATTAAACATCTACATACATGAAAAACATCAACAGGTTACTGCCATGAGACATGAAAGGGTGAACAACTTATTTAAATGTATTGTCGTGAGATATGGAGAGGAGATAGTCTTTGATTCTATAAAGGGATTTCTACTCTGACTGTTTCTAGACTCCTGTGCTACAAAATATTCCAGTAAGTTCAAACCTCAATCTGTTTGATCTGAGCATAGAAGACGAACACAATGCATCTGATTTAGCTCCTTTTTTATCGCTCTTCTCGAGAGCTGTTTCAGCACTTCCGCTTTCAGAAACGTGCACTTCCTGATAGACCTGTCTGGCGCTAGAAAAGAAAACACACTCTTCCCCCCCCCCCCTTTTTTTTTCTGCCGACCTTCAATCATTTCCTCTGCAATATGCTTGCACACACTACACTGCGGCACCGTATTGTTCTTTGGTCTTTTCAGCCGTTATGTTGGCACCAATTCATACCAATGTTTTTACTTTGACTATAACTGCTAACCCTTTTCAAAATATGAGCGAATACAAGAACTTTATTTGTGGGGTCCGGAAGGAACACGTGAGTTACCGCCCAGTTCCTGAGGTCAGGGAGAGCTGGAGGGTGAAGTGGGTTCTGGGAAGGATTCCTGTGACCCGGCCCAGTGATTCCATTGCAACGCACACTGGACTAGGATGGGAAACCGGTGATGACACCCAGCAGGACCCGCCAGGCCGGTGCTGATAGAGCCACCCTCCGGGAAGCCTTCTCAAGTTACTCTGCTGGCCTTCTCCCTCCTAATGGCCTGGGTGACTCAGTCAGCCTGCTGCCATACCCATAAACCATCACTTTGTCCACGTTGTAATCTTTAACCCTCTTTGTCTTTTCCCCCAAAAAAATCTGCCTCCAGCACAGACTGCAGGGAGCTACTGCTGTCTCCATGCTACTGCCAAGACTGCTCAGGCATCTTGCTCATCTCCGTCAAAGAGGGGGGAGGGGGGGGAAGGGACTGTCATTGTGAGCACAGAGTTAATATGAAGAGGGACGAGATGGAGAGAACGCTGGTGAGTCAGACAAGTACCATGGATTCATAGTTATGCGCTACAGAAGCATGCTAGAGAAGCATATGGGCTGAGCACTGTAAGGGTAAAGGAAGGCCTTTCATGGTACCATCATGCCTGCTGCATGATGGTACCATGCAGGCATTATTAGACTTTGCATTACTTCACCCATACAGTGTACAGTAGCAGGTACAGCGCTCAGGTACAGGTGCAGGACACACGCACGCACAGACACATGCACAGACACACTTACCCCTCGCCTCAGGCTCCGGAGGCAGTGCATTTTGGGTTTGGAGGTCATGAAGTCGTTGAGGCGGTGGGAGAGGGGCTCCTTGTGCTGCTTGGGAGACTGGGGGTCGTTGGGAACAGCAGAGGGTGAGGGTGGGGATGAGGCTGGGGGGGCAGGTGGGGGCTGGTGGGGGGATGTTAACAGGGACATAAGCTACCAGTAAGAGTGGGAGCCGTGACGGGGAGGAGGAGGAGGAAAAACATAGAAGAAGAAGAAGAAGAAAGGGGGAAAGAATCCAACACAAAAAGGAGGGAGCACAAAACGAAATAAATAAGCCTCCTACAGATATTAAAAAATAAACACACAACAGAAAACCCAAACAGAAATTAAAAGGCAACCGAAGGTACGTTAAACCTAGTGTATCAATAGTTATGCTGTATGTAAAACATATAAAACATAAAAAAACAGTTTAAAAGGAAGAACACAACCAGAGTGAGTAGGAAGCGTAAAATGTGTTAAAGCAAGCGGCTGCAACAAAGCACAGAGTTCCAGTTAAAGCGCATGCGGGGTTCCATTTTAAGAAGTCCTTCTCATTCTTTCTCTGTCCCGACATCATCACATGCCAGCTAGGACGACACCCCCCCCATCCCCAAGGATATCAAGCAGCTGAATTCGAGGTCATCATGAGAGAAATGTAATTGCTTATCGCTGTCCTGAAACATCTGACTGCATAATTCATCAAGTGGTTGCAGAGACGCCACACGATGCGCATGCAGCAGCAAGTGAGTCAGAAACCCCCTCTGTCAAAGACGAAGAGACCGAAAACTAAAAAACCCTGTTTGTGAAAGGCCAAAATGGTGCTTTTGTGCTGAAATGTCAGCGTAATGTTTCATTTGCATATCTGTGTCTGCATGCGAGTGTGTATGCAAAGTAGAAATACCTCTCTGTATCGCTGTCTGTGCTCCCCAAAAATAATCCTTCTATAGACAAATGAATCCTGAGTTCATCAAGCACAGGTAAGCGATGTGTTTAGACCACTTTCTGTACACATGAAGTCAGTGCGCTGGGGTTTCTCATCTAGCATTACACACACACACACACTTGCTTCCAGGCTTTCTCTCCCACACACAATTACTCATTCATGCTCTGCTCTAATTCAATAACGACAGTGCCACCAGCCCATAAGACGGTCCGAGATCAGTTTTGCTGTTCAGAAGCAGGAAACTGAAGGAGGCTACTCAAGACACAATCACCAGTCATTTAGGGAAACGGTGAGGGGGGAAACTGTTATTTCACATGAAGTTAATATCTGCCAGTTGAGTTCGACCGCAGGATGACAGTAGAAGTGCATTAGTGTGTGTGTTACAGAAGGAAGTTTCCCAAATCGGTGAGGGTGATTGCCGGGGAGGAGGAAACGGGTGGCAAATGATAACAACAAAAATGGCAACACTAACAACTAAATCAAATACGTAACCAGCACTAGAAATGTGACAGATACTACAAAATGTGACATTGAACACATATGCTGTCTCAAAATAGAAATACCACATAATACAACCCGTGAGCCCCCCCACCCCACACAAATCTCCCCAAAATCTCCCCAAAAAGCAAGGTGGCCTCCATGTGAGGAACATCTCGCGGTAAAACCAAAATGCATTAAAGCCGGTGAGGCTCTGCTGCACATGGCTCCGTGTGAAGTGTGCATGTGTGCATGCGTTACCTTGTTCTTGTTCTTAATGAACGGCCACAGCTTGCCCTTGCTCTTGCCAACGGGCTTCTCCTTGGCCTCTCTGGAGCTGGTCAGGCTGGTGTCGGACGCCGTCCTCTTCATGGCCTGGCCGTAATCCTCAAACTCCACGTCCCCCGGGGGCTCGAACCCGGACTTGTAGGACTCCACCACCTGCTTTGAGTCCTAGTGGGGGAGAGTGGAGGCAGCAATGAGTGACAGCCTTGGCCTTGATACAGTTTCATCCACATATCAATGGAAGAATCTTAAAATGTAAAGCAGTGACTAAAAAAAAAAAGGGGGGGGGGGGGATGTCTGTTTGTATAGATTGTCCTGCTAATCAGCAGGTCTGGAGATAAGATGCGACACAGTAGTGGGCCTGGTGGCTCTCTTGTTTATAGTAGTTTTAGTCTGATAACAGTTCATGAGGTCATCATGGACGTAGAGAGAGAGAGAGAGTGGGCCACAGAAGACCTCAATCTGTCAGGCAGGAGTTATGACAAAAACACTGAGGTCGGGGGACACAGCCAGGCTCATAAAACACAGGAAGAAGGACATTAATCAAGCGCAGTGTGCATCGGTCCACATGAACTGATCAGGGCAGAGGGTTCTGGTTTTGGAGTTGAGATCAAGGGTCAAAGATTGTGCACTGTGTACAGGAGGACGAGAGACAAAGACAAGGGAAGGAGCATGTGATACGTTATTCCCCCGCCGTTGTTTACTATCACAGGCTGGAGAGTCATCTCCCTGGAGCTGGGCCATGCAAACAGCTAGACGTACACACACACACACACACACACACACACACACATTCTCATACTATTCCATCCCTGGGGATAGTCTTGTTTTTTGTCATAGGGCAGGCAGTCAACATGTGACATCTCAATAAATCACACCGCTTGTTTTCTCCTCGACGTAGGCGAATGCTGCCTTCCATATCCAGATAATATATATAGGCCACAGGACAGAACGTAAGCAACATCTGCTTATTAGCTTCGTAGAAGTGCATAAACTAAACAGAAAAGGAGCTTGTGAGCTCATCAACAGACTGTTTCGACTATATGAAGCACAGCGATTCACCTTCCTCCTATTTCTAGATCAGGCAGAGGTAGCAGTTTAACATTTTGGTAAATAACCTTATTAACACCACTATCATACTGACCATTGAATATAAGGCCACAGGCAGATTCTGTTACCTTTGGACAGAGCCAGGCTAGCTGTTTTCCCCTGATTTCACTATCTATGCTAAGCTACGCTAACTAGCGACTTACAGTAATTTCATATTTACCGTACAGACACGAGAGTCAAATCGAACTCCCTTTTGTTCCCCCCAAAGTAGCAAACTATTACATTAAATTGAATGGACTGCAGCCACTGTTCCTGTGCCACCACTTTGCAAGTGCTTTGTTTCGCACACTTGTTGCTTTGATGAAAGCCTGATCGCTGGTGTGCGAGTTGTGACTGACTGACGCACTGCCTGAATGAGTAATACGTCCCACATGGTGGTGTGTGTGTGTGTGTGCACATACATCTAATTTCTGTATACTCACAGTCTTGGGCTCGATGGACTCGGCTGCTTTTGTCATGCCGTCTAAACATTTCCCCACGATGGGCAGCACTTGGCGGTCCACGTCTGCAAACGTCTTCATGCACACTCCTATCCTGTCGATTCTGTTCTCCTCCATGTCTTGAAGTTTCTACGCCAAAAAATAAACAAATAAAATGCAGGCATATTCACACGTAAAAGAAAGGTCAACTAGCTTGTGTTATAGAATAAGTGGAATGGAGAGTGAAGTGGGCGGGGCTTACAAAATGATACACTGTGAGATTGGAATCAAACTGTGTGAAAGACTTCTTCTTTGGAAGAATTGACATACTGAATAGGAAATGTCTTATGTACTTTACATATTTCTAAATGTCCGACCCAATTTAAAAGACAAACGGCACTAGAGAAGTGAAAGCTCTGTGATTCCCAGCTCACAAGCGGTAGAAATGTAAGAGAATAGCTGCACTCTTCATAACGACGGCTCGTTCCCTTCGGTGTTTCACAGAATGTATTTTTAGCGGTGGACCCAGAGGGGAGTGTGGGTGGTGGGCTGCGAACAGCGTTGAATTCACAAGCTTACTAATGACTGCACATGAATGCACCATTCTGGCAGACCCTTCCATCAGTCTGCACTTTCTGCTGCATTTCCACACATTGTGAGTGTGGAAATGATAAACAAAACAAAATGGAGGCAAACATGTTTTGGGTGGGCGCTCTAAATAAATGTATTGTTTGGGATTTGCAAGTTCGTGCAACAACAAATCAGACGAATTAGGACGTAAGTTGCGGTGCGGTTATATTTACCTGGAATATGTTGGGGATAATGTTGAAGTAATGCTCATTCTGCTCCTGGTTGAACTTCTGCAGGTAGGAGGAGTAATCGCTCTTACTGTCTGATGCCATCTGGTGCCTGGACTGAGCATGCTGTCGTGCCTGAAGGAAATAAACAACAACATAGAAACATGCACATCAGAGACGCTCTACTCGATACACCTCAGTGTCCCCCGGATACACAGACACATGGGTTACACACACGCAGCCAGAGCATAAAAACCTACATGAGTTGACATATTTGTGCAAACCAGTGTTCATGCACGCACGTGTACGCACATAAACATAAAGCTCGCGGACGCGCGGTCATAGGTGCAAGATTCCTGCAGCAACAGCCGCTGGCGGTAGGCCATACAGTATGTAGACCAGAACGAACACTTAAAAAGTCTGCACTGCCTGCAGAACGGAGGGATTTGTATTTTTGATTGCCCATCCAGTCTGGCGTGTCCCTACCGTCGATAATGTTGATTATTTTAAGCTAGTTCAGTCCCAGGGAGGCAAGGCAGGCAGTCAGAAACGCAGCAGGAGCAGCCTATTACAGATCCAAGGCGAGCAGATGGAGATGAGATTATCTCAGCTAGGCAGCATGTGTGTGTGTGTCTGTGTACTGTCGCTAAGTACTCGTATCTGTTTCCTCTTTTCTATCAGATCTGAGGCCTGTCCGCGCACACATAGTGGTTTCATTGGGTCACATATTACACAGAATATCCTTATGAACCCGTGATCGCAGTCAACTGAATGGAGATGCACAGGGGACGGGGACGGGGTCATTTAACGGTGCGGGCCAGTAGAGGGAACCCTGATCTGTCGCAGTCCTGTGGGAAACATTTCGAGGACTCTGTCCAGTTTTCACCCACGCACCACTCTGAGGCAAGAGCTGAGTCTCTCAGCGCTCACACACACACATATATGGGTACGTAATGGATGACATACGAGAAGACATCAGAGCGGAGACACTCGTCAGACACAAAGGTGCACTACTTCCAGCACAGGAGGGATGACAAGTAATGCCTCTGGTGGAAAAAGATAGTCACAGCCCTCAAGAAGAGGAATGTGGAATCTAGAGGAAAGCTAAAAAGCACATGTGGAAGTCCAGCTGTTTAAGTCGACGTGCAGGCCTGTGAGCATGCATTGATGGGTGTGTGTGTGTGCTAGGCCGGCTGTGTGCATGCAAAGTGGTGCCGAATGTGTTGTGAAAAACATCGCCATGGTAACATGGCAGACAATCAAAACTTGCAGCAACATCACATCCTGTGGTCGTGTTCTGGAAATAACATGTCATTTATTTTCTCTGTATCAGTATCTGTATAAATATCTATCTATCTATGAAGATTACAATGAAAGGGGCCTGACGCAACATTTTTTGATTTTGCTTACATCATCACACACATACAAAGTGTTCAGCAGAAGAGACAAGTCACTGTACGGGGAGCAGATCACAGTCAGACAGGACAGGGCGTGTTTATAGGGACCCGGTCGAGGCTCAACGGGAGAGTGTGTGTGTGTGTGTGTGTGTGTGTGTGGGTCGAGACACGAGTCGAGACAGTGTGTGTTCCCACAGATATAACAGGCTCTCTGTGCGCCGGACCTACCTTGTGGGAACTTCGCTTCAAGGCATGGCATAAAAAAAATAGATATACAAACACACACAAACAAAAAAAGGATTGTTAGCCGTTTCCAGCTAAACAAGAAGTTGCCATAGACGCACTTCCTGGACCACCGGGTGTGTCATCAGTCAAAAAAGGGGAAGTTGGTATGAGGGTAAGCAAATGCAATCACGATTGAAATACGATACTGGAATGGTACACCGCACTCTTATGGTAGTAGTACGGCAGAACATACCCGGAGAGGAGGACACTGTGTTATTTTATGTACTTTCTGACAACGACAGGAAAGTCTGTGTGTGTGAGAGAGCCGGGGCTCCTTTTTAAAATAACTGTTAACAGCCTTTGTGGATATCTGGGCTGTCAATCCAAACCCCAAATTGAGGGATTTGCTTGCCAAGAAGAGGAGAGGGAACCATTTGAGGTTTTTCTCCAGCTGCAGAGAAAACCGCAACACCTCAGCTCAACAAACAGCAGCTCATGGCATTACGGGGGACATCACAGACAAAGAGCAACTCCTGGAGATTTATCGGTTCCATTCTCCTTTTGTTGTGACAGACAAGTGACTGAGAAAGTGAAGTTATTGGTTACTAACTTGTCAGATCCTTAAAGTGGCCTTTAGCATTTGAATGTACACACAACTAAGCTGACAACAAACACGTGTTCTTCGCCTATCATGCATAGTCAAAGCCCAAAGGCTTTGACTATGACTCCAACACAAACTAGTCCGAGGTCGTGACACGTCGTTCCTTGCGCTGATTTGTACTCAAAGGCCCTCGCAATAATGAAAGGAATACGCCTCTGCAGAGAAAATAACACATTGTGACTCACGGGCTGTTCTTTTCTGCACCTTAGTTTAATGACCAAGTCTGTCTCTTACCAAAAATCCCAAAATGCAATGAAGGAAGTGGAATAGTAACTATATACTTTTCCTGCCAAGCACGTGGAGAAGTCGTGAGGCATCGCAGCCCGGGTATCTAAACCACAGATGGCCACACAAACGTGACACTATAGCAATAAAGCACGCGCACTTCCTTCTTCTTTCTTCATACATTCGCACATTTCCGCACATTTCTTTTTTGGACTTGATAGAATTTATACCACAGATACAACACACCGATAAAGTACAGAGTTTAAAAACGAAATGTGGGAAGAAAGTCCAATCATCTTCCACAGCTCATTTCTGAACAATGGAGATGTGAGTAGGTGACAAAGAGCTGTGTGCGGTGATCTAGACATTGGAAACGGGGCGAGATACTGAAAACCAAACATATTCATTTTGACTATTAAGGTTCACGGTAATCTTTGCCACAGCATCTTATAACATGTGCACGTTTTAAAGTCCTTTTAAGTTTCTGAATAGACCATACAGATAATTTCTCAGCTCATTTACTACATTTATGATACAGTTTACATTGCTGCTTTCCATTTACTAATGCATTTCCTGCTTGCATTGCAGACATTTGCTTTCATCTATTTCACTGCAGCCTGTTTTTCCAGGAACACTGTGTTTGTTCTGGAATGAATCGGAGGCTTATCTGACAGTGAATGTCGAAAAAGAATCACATTCACCGGCTATGTTAAAGGAAAAAATGTGGTATCTTTCAAACTGGCACTCTTTCTTATAATTACGGCCATTCTGATGGCGTCATGATAACTTCAGCACCTTCATTATAGAAGTTTGGAAAGAGTGGACTTGAGTGAGTCTTCTAAAGCTTCCCAAATCAACTTCAATCGTTTTAAAGTGAGAGTAAGACGAGAGGAAAACGGAAATGTTTAACTTGGTACTTTCTTGCTTAATGGTAAATATCTTAGGACTGTAAAGGCAAGAATCTGGCGATACGATACGTATCATGATGGAGAGACTGAACGGAAGTTGAATTTCCGAGGCATGAATGGAAACTAAAAGTCAATAGAAAATGGTCAGCAGAAATGTAAATAATACACACAAGCAATCTTTTAGGGTTGAGTGGGTTTAGAAATATCTTGCATAATAAAGAGCTGTTTACATTATCACTTTACACAAACAGTGATACTAACTAAAGCTCTGAATGCTGTGTGATGTATGAGTCTCTCATGCTTCAATAAATGAAATAACTGTAATCAGACACAACACCGCTCTTGTTTCACAACTAGTTTCTTGAGCTGCTGTGCCGGGTCTTACCAGTTGAGTTTAGTGTTAGCCTAAGCCTATTGTAGCTCTTTGGCTGCGTGTCCAGAGTGCAGAAAGGCTCTTTATTCCAGCCCATATTTGCATAATAATCGGGTCTGAACTGTGTCAACTGTGAGCCCGAGCTCCGCTCCAACAGCTGATGAAGCAGCGAGAGCACGCGCTGCTGACCCATGATGCCTTGCGGGCGTGGGAGCCATGTGGGAGAAAGATTTTGAGGGCTCTTTTAATTGGTTGTGACAACAGGAAATGACATCAGCTACAGGCCCGGGGGTCTGTGTGTCTTTTAAGTCCTGAGAATCGGACGATCGCTGCATGTGTTGAGGAGTACGTATTATCACAGAAAGACCAAAATACGTATTTAGATTCTTCACTGTAAAACAGCAAAGCCCCCAAAAAGTACGTGTAATACACACATAAACACACACACGCGCCACCATGGACACAAAGTCCTCTCTGTTGCTAAGGCCCACACAGACCAGCAGAGTGTTTGGTATCTGCTCGGCGGTGATAATGAGGACTCGGTGCAGCCATCAGCTTTGTTTAGCAGCAGATCACTGTGCTGCTGAGACAATGCCAGCTTTTACACACAGTCCCCCGGCATCAAACTCATGGTCACTTAATGTAGGCTGTCTTTCGGACTCCGTCGAATGAGGAGTCAGGACTTTAGGCGTAATGTGGAAGGGGGGGGGTGGTGTAAACGTAAATGGCGACAGAAAGGGGAGGGTGCAAAGTGGGAGGGTGAGGAAGGCCAGGCAACTGTGTAAAGCATGGAGGGCATGGGACAAGCTCGCGTGATCGGTGGTTTGCTGCACGAGAGTGCGGTGACACATACCTTTTCCACGTCGGCCTTAGTCACGTTAATGTCAGCGTCCATCCTCTCGAAGTATTGCTGTGCTCTGTCTGCCTCTTTACAGTCCCTCTCAAACCTCCTCTTACACTGAAAACAGACAAAAAAGCAAATTGAATATGATCACAGACATTGGATCAGTAATTTCCTGCCGTGAGCTGTAGCAGGAAACACTTTATAACTTGACCTTTTTAAATAAGCACGGTAATGAACGTCACAACATGTAACGTACACGTCACGTAGATTTGAGCAGCCGTATTTGTGTGTGACAGAGGTCAGTTTATGCCCCTGACACAGCGATGGGGTCTAAAAGTCTGCAGCCTGCAGATTAAACAAATGTCCATAGTGGCCATTTGTGTACGGAAAAACAAGCATTCATTCAACCCTCTTTCGACCCCTCTCGGTGAACAATCCGTGTTTGTTGGGCCGGCGTGCACTCTGAACTATGCCTATCTGCCTCGCACACAATGAGAGCATTGAACGCACACAGCGAAAGTTTTGAGGAGGACAGGGCAGTTATGCATATCTCCGGAGCTCTTTCTCTCTCTCCCCCGTCAAAGGGGCCAGGCAGAGATAAGAAGTGGTGTTCTGTGCAATCTCTCTTTCAGCTGCTTCACTTAAACAAATGAAGCAGGCCCTCCTGGATGTGATCTTATTGAGGGGTTTTAACAAAGATTGGAATTCTAAATCAATGTTAGTCTGGCCCAAGTGACGACTAAAAGGGCACACAAGTGAAACTTTTGTATTTCTAGTTCTGCGTTAGGGCTCAACCAAATGCCCCTTTTTTCCATTCGAGGCTTCTGAGGTTTTCTAATGAAACTTCAAAGATCCGTCGTCATATTGTATGTCTCATCTCTCTAAAAGAAAATTAAGAGGGTTTTTTTAGGGGGCTATTGTGGTTATATAAAGCAGAACATTTTGTGAATTTGTGTGCAATAGTGCAATACTAATATTAATAGTATTAGTTTAGCCTAATCTTTATCCGCAACTATGCAGAAATACCAGCGTCAAACAGAATGATTAGAAAAAGCTGCACAGAATTCAAATTATGATTTAGAAATGAAATGTCAACGTTACGAATGAAGCTTTGAACTATTCAGTACAGCTCTATTTTTCTACTTCAGTATTTTCTGTCTCTCTGATGTTAACAGACACATTTATGTCAGATCAGCCTGCCTGGAGAGAACAATACAGATCGTGAAGTTATAAGCCTCGGGAAGCTTTAAACCAACATTATTTATCATGAGTCCATCTTGGTGCAAGACGCTGTCTTGTATATTCTTCCCATGCTTATTGCCCAGTCTCCATTTTGAGTGAAATAAATGTCACATTGTATGAGGTTTATGGTGCAGACAGAACATGAGGTCCCTCAGGGCTCTGTACACGGCCTTCTACTGATATTTCCTTTTTCAGTTAGAAACAAACTGTTTGCCTCCCGCTGTATGTGCTCCCTCAGCGTTTATTGATACACTTTATAGTCACACTGCTCCTCCTTAAGTGTCGGTTAAAGCATGTGCTTTAGTAGCATGTAGCGTTGATTGATCATAAGGCTGCTGATGACTGATTGTACAGCCTTGAGCCATTTACATCAATAGACCATCTCTGCACAGTTTTATATAAGATTGTATTCCTTTTATTGCAATTTTAACCTTTATGTTCTCTTTGAGCCCATGTAGACGGTGACATATAGACAAATACATTCAAGACATTCAGCAGAATGTCCCTCTTGAGTCACTGTACCACCTGTGCTCACAACTGCTGCTGGTGTACAGTTGTGGTACTGCACATTGATGGGGTCACTTACCGCTTCCAGCTGTTTCCACGAGCTCTCAATGTGCTGCTGTGCCTTACGACCATCATGGAAGTGCTGTCAAAAGAGATAGGGATGAAAAATTAGAAATATTAGGGTAGGGATAATAAATTAGAAGCAGTTGAAATGAAAGTCTCAACCGTACCATTAAACACTATGAATATTACTCACACTGTGTCAGGGAAGTATTAATGTAAGCTGAGAAAGTAGGGCAAATTCACATAGACACTATACTGTAGCTACATTACAAATTATGAGCATACAATCCACAGGCTTAACTCTCAGAGACACAAGCGCCAGCACAGAGTATAGCTTTAGGTTGATGTGATTAAAGAGCAGCCGCATCATCAGATCTGCACAACTGCACCAAGAAAGAACAGTGTTACAATTTCAATATACATTTAGCACCAACACTGAAAAATCTAACTGAATGAAGGCTTTGTACTAAGTGGATATTCCAATAAACTAAAAAAAGGTCAAACATACTGTAGATCAATTAACAATGACAACCGATTCTGTCTTAAACAAGGAATATTTCGAAACAAGAGATTTGCAGGATGCAATAAAAATGTATTTAGTCCAAAAAGGCTAAATATTATAGCTATTTAACATCAGCATATTAACAATGTCATTGTGAGCAGCTATTCAATACCGTTATACTGATAAACTTCTCTGTGGGCCGTTATAGCCGTTAGAGGAGAAAGTAGCATCAGAAACAGAGAAAGGCTAACTGATGAAGTAAGGTCAAGGGTTGGACGTGCAATTAAAAGCTTCCAGTCAACATGAGATAAAACAGGGAAGCCAGATTTTGTAATCTAGGGGAGACGGACAGGTCACAATGGATGATGGCACTGTTAAGTGTTGCATATTAGACGAGGCTAGATGGCAGCTGCTTGTGTGTGTTTTTTGTTAAATGCCTCACTTGGCCTCTCTCTCGCTCCGGGGGACCGGAGCACTTGGCCCGGAGGCCGAGCACATCTCTCTCCAGCTCTCTGTGTGGATCACAGCCAGACCCCCCCGGAAACATAAGAGCACCAATGTAAAACCTTTTTGAAAATTAAATTGCGACGACTTATCAAGCATGCGGATAATTCCCCCCCATTTCCTGTGGTCACGTTAATCTGCTAAAAAAAAAAGAAAATCCCCAAAAGAAACAAATTAAAATGAATATGACACTGAGACTTGACTATCAATGAGGTATCTCCCTGGTTACGCTGACTGCGGAAGCTTGGGTCAGGAGCTGAGCTGAATATCGATGCCGCCATTCAATGAAGGACCGGGCCACTGTAGACGGAGCAGAAATCTTTTGCTTGCATTTCAGCGCAAGACAAGTACAAGCAAAGTCCTCAGTACTCTGTGTGCCAACTCAAACACACAAGCATGAGATGTGAAATGAAGACGTCCTAAAGGTTAATCTCACCTGAACACGAGAGTAGTGAGAATGTGCCCTGGTTCACCTCAAATAGTTACACTTCTCATATCCTAAGGTTTCGAGGGAAGCTGAGCCGAATAAGGAAGTGCTCCAGTGTTTCAGAGGAAGTATTTCAGCTCGAACAGAAAATGGGACATTGTGGCGCCTCTAACCGATGAATAATCAAAGCATTTTGTTAAGACCCTGACCTTTAAATTCCCGTAAAAGAAGAACCTTATTCAGTTCTGGAAATATGTCTTATGATAAGATACAGTGAAGATACAAAGAAGCCTTTTTTCACAACGCGCAGCACAAGACTGGGTGACATCATTGTTACTGTGGAGCATTCCTTTCAACCAAACATTTGTCTCCATAACAACATATCTGAAAAATATCCAGCATAAACTAATCTTCCGTCAGAGATAAACAAACTATCTTGATAGCTCGTTTAGAATCATGAGGTCCTGCTGGATGACGAAGATCCACGGATTAAAAAAAACAAGAAACATGAGCTCATTCGCTTTCAAACTAAAGAGAGCGCATCATCGTTTGTGACTAACGGCCATCTGGGACACAGGTATGAATGTTGCAGATGTTCTGCAGTGTTTGGCCTCTCTGTGTTTACATGCATAGACCCTTCGTTCACCCAGTCCTCATGTTCAGCAGGAGGAAGGGTGGACACACCCCGTCTTCCTCCCACACGTCCTTCTCAGTAACAGCATATGCCTGCTGGCACTGTCGGGGACATGTGGGACACTTCAACAGGTCGCTGACCTGAAGCTGCCACTCTGTTACCCAGACACACCCACAGAATAAAAGCTGGAGTGATCAGATTCTTAACCTGGATTTCAAACTTCAACCACATTGATACGTTAACTGAAAGACAGAACGGGAAAATATGATTATTAAACACCTAAACACATTAGATCAGCAGATTTAATAAATACGGGATTCAGAGCAATAGTATAGTAGCAAACATCTGTATGAGAAGTAAAGAGTGCAGTACTGCTCTGCTCAGTACTGGCCTCCTGAGCAGAGAATGAAGTCAATCAATACATTTTCATTTGAGCTAGTCTATTTTTATGGTGTCTCAAGCATGAGCTACAGCGGCTCCTATCTACTGCCGGCCTTCAGTAGAGAGGCTCTACTTTCTAGTATCATCCGTGTACCAGACTGAGCTGAGGTGGGACAGACACGCACTGATGAGGCTGTCTGTCACACGCAAAGACAACGACATGAGGCGAAAGACGGGGCAATCGACAAACGTCCTCTGCTGCCACTCCAAAAACTTCTCTCGCAGCACCGGAATTTGCAGTTTTTGAGTCTACGAGCGTGAGGGGTGGACCCTGTGCGCACACACACGAGCTCTAAACTGATCTGTCCGTCATTCATTGCCGTGACTTGGTTCACAGGAATGTGCACCTGCACTCCTGTAAAGTTGTCAACACGCATATAATCATCAGGCACTAGGAATAGCCACAAGTCATACGAGATCTAGAGACTTGAGCGATGATTAAACCTCATGAGGAGCTCCACTGACGTCTCTCCTCATGTTTAGACCATTAGAGGTATTCTATACCGAAGTGTTCGTGCAGCGGCTGTGGAAAAGATCTGCGATCAATTCTCCCTCTCAGCTTCCAATTTGTCTTTCCACTCAACACAAGAAGGCATGCGAGGCCACTCCAGAGAGACGCATTGTTCTTCCATTGTGGTTGCAGCTCTCTCCTTGGAGGTAAATGGAGGACGGCATCTTCTGCCAAAAAGCACCTAAAGATGTTTTACAGCGTATTACAGTTTTCAGCTGACTGTTCGCTAAACGTAATGCCAAATTGCTGGCTCTGCCGTCTGAAGATGTGTTCTTTTAGACATTTTTCCCAGCTGGTTGAACATGTCACATCGCAGCAGGATGAGACAGATAAACCCCCCCCCCCCCCACACACACACACACACACCGATAGATATAATTATGTGCTGATGGCGCAAGTGGACTGAAAAGAGCACACACTGAACTAATCCTCAGGTGGACTTCATTAACACACGTCGGTATTAGAAAATATGGATACGCTTGAGTGTGATGCTTTATCGATTTGTTAATTAATAGTTTACGTGCAAAGATTTGTCAGAAAGCGTCTCCGATTGTACAAAAAGATGAGCTGGGATGGAGACTGTTACAGGGACAAAAGTGGGACTAACAGATCCCACTGTTCTGATTTCATTAATAAAAAAGGTACAGTATCGCAATATATGAATCGTAACCCCTGTATCATTATACTATCGCATCACCATATTCTTGCCAATACACAGCCCTATAGATATAGATGTTACAGTAAATGGAAGTCTCTGGAGGTCTTGCTGAGTCTTTAAGGGTCTTCATTAATCCTCATTAGAGAGAATACCTAAGCCCTGTGATCAGAGGTCTGGTGTGCTGACCGAACACCTTTTATTATGATCCCTCAGCACAATCACAGTCCAGTGAGACTTAGGCTCTTCATCCCATATTAACCCTTCCTGCTCTTCATCATTGCCTATTACACCATTAGACCAAACACCAGCAATGCCTGGGGAATGACATGGCATCTCACTGAGGTCATGTTCTCGTTTGAGATTTCTTCCCGTGCCTTTATGATTCAAATCAAGTGAGAGAAATATGTTTGCACAACACATTGAATGGAGCGTTCTGACCTATAAAACCAGGTTCCACTTTTGTAAAAACAAGCATAGCTGTTCTCAGATCACATTCTTGGCCTCAGCACCCCACGCTGAGCTTAGCGAGAGGTTCACTCAGGGAAACGGCAACGGGAGCTGGGCAGAGTTACAAAACAGCCCCACATGAGGAACTAATGAGGTTTTCTTTCTCCTTCAGGTTTGTAGTGTGGACTTTTGCCTGTCCAATAAACTCTGTATAAACCCAGGAAAGGCGGGACCTGACCCTCCTCTAATCCCAGTGTCTGGGTCGGCCTGCATAGCTTTGTCTGACATAGACGCGAATCCAAAAAAAAAAAAAAAAAAAAGCTACAACTGAAAAAACACAGAGTGGTGCTTAGAAATTCATGTGAATGAAACCAGAGCTGAAAATGACGAGAAAGCTGGGGAAGTCATGGGGAACGGCTGCTTTACAAACACCTTTCACTTTTCTAAACGGACAGGCTTACTATGAAACCCTGAATGTTGTTTAGGGAAATGTTTTTGATGAAGATCTTTTCAACCCTTGATGTCTGGGTCCTAGTCTCCCCTCTCCCCGTCACGCTCTCCCGTTGTATTTGCATGTTCCTGTTTGTGTTGTCTGGAGCTGGGCGCGGTTTCCTGATCGACTGCTGCCACTCAAGCCTGCACATCTGCTGCTCATCTGCAACCAAGCCACCTACACTCTCTGCTGCATAACTGCCTGGTTCAGTTTTTCCTTGTTGTCCAGGTCTCCGGATTCCAGCCCCCCCTTGTTTATCCTCCGTTTGACCCAGCCATCCAACTCCCTGGAAATCCCTGTCTGCCTCAGTCCCTCTGCTACCAGGAATTCTGCTTCACCCCAGCAGCCCTCGCCGCATCAAGGAATCACATACAATTACTGTTGTTCTCCATTATTCATGAGTGTGCTGAGGATGCGAGTGTGTCACTGAATGAAAACTGAAATGGGCCACATTTGCCCTCCAAGGACAGCGTTCTGAATACAACTGAGAAACTATTTGCTCAATGACTTTTAGATGAAACGATCTTCTGTTCAGAAAAGACACTTATTTTGGGTTCATACTATGTAGGGGAAACGCCCCCCCCCCCTACAGCTACGCCGTGTTTTAGTCACGAGAAGCAGACACATGACAAACTAGGAGGACAGAGGGGGGCGAGAGAGGGAAAACTGTTTATATTTAGAAATAAAATAGCGGAAAACTGAGGAGAGGAGGAAGAGAGGTGTCAGAGTGACATCCTGCAGCCTCAGGACAGCATGGGCCTGACTCTGGACCCTCTATGTGGACACTAGAGACACAGACGCTGTGCTAAGCCAAACCAAGCCAGGCTAAGCCAAAGCCAAAAGAGCAGAACAGGCCTGGGGGCGGTGGGTGATTCCCCTTCTGAATCGCTAGAAATCCCCTAAAACCAAAGCTGGAAATGTAAACTGATCATGCGACACAGGGCTTCCTGTATTCAGGTAGCAGATGCAGTAACACAGTTGTGCACACTATACTCTAAAAAAAGGTCCCTGTGCCTCTGAGCAGCCCTCTGGTTTTGGTTTTCCACTCCAGTTCCCTCAGCTGGACTTCCGTGACACAAGAGTCCGTGACAGATTTTTCAGAAAGTACTTTTTTTTTTTTTTTCCAGCTGGGTAGTTTTCTCTCTGCTCCTCCACTCACTCTCTGGCTTTAATGGCCGCCCACACTGCTATCTGTGAATCATGCGCAGCAGGTCCACCGCTCTTCTAAATCACTTTGTAATGGTGAGGACGAAAGTGACTTCAGCATTTAAGAACAGTGCGCGGTGCATAAAGTCTTTTGTAAAATGATTCATAAAAGAGAGAAATAAGCCTGTAATGATAGAGAGAGACGGTGACTTTGTTCCATAAAAAGGACTCGGTCAGTCACGTTCTGCACTTCTGGCGAGCCTTCGTGGTGTATCTACATTTACTCAGCGATGACCTCAGTGCACGGAGCATAGAGTATGCAGAGGGAATGGGCTGCTTCTCGTAGGCCGGTGTCTCTTTTTTTCCTTTACAGAATCCGTATCCTTCTGTCTAAAGTGAGCGTTTCATTTAAAGCACTGGCATGGGCACAATGACAAGATGAGGAGGAACTAGCAATATTGAATATGAAAAAGAGCGCAATATAAAAATATGTCCCACCAATTTTCTCTCAGACTTGAGCTCCTGCAGGTAGCGTGAAAGCTCGCTGATGATTTGCGACGTCAGGTTCTCCGCTATAACCTCGTGTTGACCCGCGTAGTCATTCAACTCGTTCAGGGACGTCACGAAGGCTCGACAGAAGGTGTACCTGGTGAGAGACAGGAAGTGATGTCAGAGGAAAGTTGGTTGCAATAGGCAGATGCGAACACAGCGATCACGTTAACAAATAACAGTATAGTAGTTTGGATCACGTTAAAGGAATGGTGGGACATTTTTGGGAATTACCCTTTTTGTTTTCTGTTGGAGAATAAGGTGAGATACAAGGCTACAGCTAGCAGTTAGCTTAGCTTAGCATAACGACTGGAAACAGCTAGCCTGGCCCTGTCCGACAATAACCAAATTCTGCCAGTAAAAACATCAACTCACCGTTATACAGGTGGTCATGTTTATTCTCCGCCAGACAGAAAATGCCTGTCAGCGTATTTTCCGAAACATAAAATATTTGATCTATCTGTTAACTTACTTGCTCTCATCCTCTTCTCGCGAGTTCTTCTTGGGTTGATACTTCTTTGATAAATTCCTGCGAGGACAAAAGAGTTCAGACTGGTCAGACATTTCCGACGGCATCTTCCTTAAGAGCCCGGCCTGCAGACGGGTGGTGCACCGTTCCCATTATGTTTCCTCATCATCCAGTACACCATTCAATCCAGCAGAGTGCTTTCTGCTGTTCCCACTACATCCCACTTTCCTCTCTTCAGGTCACGAATCATGCCCCCCAGGAGTCTATGCATGCAGAAGCAGTCAGCAGAAGCAAGCGTGCTTTTCAATATGCAGCCGTTGGCCTTGTTTTGACTGTGGCTGCATGTTAGTGGCACGAGATGAGCTCAGTGTGACGAGGAGGAGAAGGAAAAACCTAGATGTTGTGTCACTGTACACGTTGTCGGTGAATTGATATTGTTGGGAACCGTGGTGCAGTTTGACAGGTTACAGTACACCATGTCACGTTCGTTTCATCATGACGGTGTTAAACGCTCACCAGCTAGCTGTGCTGATGCTCCGTTCGATGGCGACTCTGTCAGCAGAGCATAATAACGTGCACTGTGCTCTGATGGATTTGGGTGCGCGTTGTGTGCTTATGCCTTCGGGATCTTTTGTCTAATTAAAGAGCAGCCAAGTGGTGCACGAAAACCAAAATGCAGAGCGACACAACTGTTAGATTGCTGTTAGAGCGCCCCGTTATTGCAGCTGTGTGTCTCCCTTTGTGTGCAGCAAGCGGGAGAGCAAACTCAAAATGCTGTTTTTTAAAAAGGTTGAATGCCAACACCTATGGATTGAAGTAGAATATTTTGTTAGATTAAAATATTTTGTAAATAATTCAGTCAGAAACGATCCTACTCTGCCACCACTGGAATCTTACTCCCATCGCTGTGTCAGGGGCATATTTTGATGCTAATAATATTACTGTAGCTTAATTTTGTACATGAAATGGCACCTGCATTTAACCCATCCTGAGCATGAGGAGCAGTGGGCATCTTGAGATTTAGTGTCACACTCAAGGACACCGCCATCAAACCGCCAACCTTGTGGTGAGAAGACTTCCCTATCTAGCCACTGAGCCAAAGCGGCCTTCAATGAATGAACACATATTTACAATTCCAATGTCAACGTAACGAACGAAGCTTCAAACTATTGGGTACGGCCCTACAGCGCTGTGTTCACTGATGGAATCTTTACGCCTCCGCTTGTACATGTTGTAAAGAAGCGCATGCAAATTCCTACTGTGATAAATAATACAACTAACTATGTGTAATGTGTGTCTCGCTCTGCTCTCATCCCCCACCACTCCTCTCCTCCCTGGTGGTGTTTGCACTGTTGCTAGGCAGATTTATCTGTCCGTCTAGCTCTCTCCCTGTCCTTCTCACCCCATCTCTAATTATAGTGCTAGTTCACACTAACTCATTCAGTCACTCACAGGCACATGTCATGTGACAGATTGTATTTGCCCGCTCGCCTCAATAACATATTTAACAAGCCTGTCAAAATAAGGCTAGCAGCTTAATTAGGAGAGTGAAATAACCGCTGTCAGGTGTGTGTCTGTGTGTGTGTGTCTGGAAGATGATACCACATGGCTGCTTCACACTGTAACCGCAATAAAGACAGACCCCCCCTCACCCAGTCTCCTTTGTTAGCAGGACTTTATTCCCACTGTGTTATGGATTATGCCAGACTGGAATGTGGGGGAGGGGGAGGCACTAATGCATTGCCCTGCGATGACCAGACTGATGTGTTTACATCGACGCAGTGGAAGAGGATTATTCATGGATTAGTGCAGTGTGCGGTTGAAATGGTACGAAGCAGTGCAACAGCCAGAGATGACGTTCGATTGGGGAGGATTGTAGGCTATGTCGTGTAGTTTTAAGACAAAACAAAGTCTGCTTTAGGGCGGGCTTACTGTGATTGACAGGTCGCTGCCGCTACCAGACCTGTATACATCGTCTCTACGTCGCTCCTTCGCATTCCAAATATAGTAACTTCCGTTCAACAGTTGCAAAAAGTCAAACTGGCAATGGCGAAATTGCCCGAACTCCAAGCTTCATAACGACAGTCCACAAACCAATGGGTGACGTCACGATGAATAAGTCCACTTCTTATATACAGTCTATGATTATAACCTCGGTATCGATCTACTGAATATATTCTTGGTTAATCATTTGAAATAAATATTTTTTACAATCATGTCGTATTTTGTCCAGTCAACACTCCAAAACCCAAATATATTGAATTTACTTTCAGACAAGACAAGGAGAAACATGTAAACTGTTCACTGATTATCAAATAGCTGCCAATTATTTTCCTTACTTATTTATTAACAGATTAATAATTTCATGTCCCAGTCAGCCAGCATTGGCAATACCAGATCTGTGAAATGATTTGTTTTTAAAAACGTGTCAGAATGTCGACCGTGTAAGAGCCTGTTACCTCTGAAAGGAGAACAGAAGGAATAATCTCCCCGACAACACGGATGAGAGAAAAGAGGACTAGATCAAAGGGCCCATTCCATTACTTTATTAGATCCAACAGCCCGCCGTTTCTTCTGGTTTGAGTGTCCCCCGTTAGATTAAGCCTGCTTTCATGAGCTAAGATGATTTAAAACTAAAGGGATAATTAGTCCTGTGATTTGTCCAAGTAGCCCCACAACAAAGAAGATCAGTGTGTTAAAAACACAGGAAACCCTCTGACTCAGGCTATCCTGTCAGTACGTACTAATTTCCTCATTTCAGCCTTTTTCTGACAAGAGTGCCAATCTGCATGCGTGTGTGTGTGTGTGTGTGTGAGTGTAGATAACAGACCCAGTTTGACAGCACATTGTGTAAGCACATTGACTGAAAACATCCGCACCATCTGTGGAGCCTGAAGTTCTATAGAAGCCAACCTGGGATATCTGCATGTATTGAAATGCAACAGCAAATCTGTGAGTGCGTATGTTTTTGGACCACATTATTTGTTAAAAACACTGCTTTCAATTTTTCTAGTAATGTATTTAGGATCAAATTAAGAATCATGGAGAAGTTGTACACATGAAGAGAAGGAAGTTTAAGGACGGTGCTAAAAGGGGTATGAATGCGCTTGAATACTTTCTCTAAATAGGTTTAACATTGTTTCTGAGATGCAAATAAGTAGGAAGAGAAAGAACGGAATACCATTCGGGTGAAAATGAATACATCTGTTTGATGCGTGATATTCTCTGAGATGTGCTGGACGGGTAATGCATGCATGTAAACACAGACGGCTAGTCCTATCATCTCAAGCGGACTTAATTCTCTAAAAGAGGAGTGGTGTGGCCCGTGGAGTATCTGTTGCTATGTGAATACTAGATCGGTATTGGACGGTCACTGTGAAACGGGGGGGGGTTGGGGGTTCAATACTTAGAGCATTAGCCATATTGCCAGATGAGGATTGAGGATTTGTGGGGGGTATCTCCTACTGTGTTGGGAGGAGTTAAGAGATGGATGCTCTCAGTGCATCACTGCCTTAGAGAATCAATGACTGCACCAAAACTGTGCGTGTGTGTGTGTGTGTGTGAGAGGGGGGAGAATAGGAAGGGGGCGGGCCGACACTTGTGGTTGGAGGAAAAACAGAAAAAAAAAATCTGGGTCAGACCTGGGCATGATAATGCTGATACCTACTAGTCTCTATGGAAACACAAGCTCCACCCCCATCCCCCCCCCCACAACCTGACTTCCTCTTGCCTGAAGCAGAAGCTAGCAACAGCAGACAGCGTGCATGCACAAGAGAGTGAGAGAGAGGAAGACAGAAAGACTGTACACAGTCGAAGAGAGAGAAAGATGAAGGAGGAGGAAATAGAAATCCTTTTAATGCCTGTTTATTTACATCTACATGTGCATAAAGCAATTATGCTTATTAATATAACTCTGCTATGTATTCTTGTGTCGGTTTCCCCCTCCAGAGGGAGGTCAGAGGTCACTCTCAACAAGCGGTTGAGGATTCAGTCTCCAGTTCCAAGGACACTTCAGCAGGTCACGTCCCGCTGCAGAAGGGTGGGGTTCTTCCTCTCCATCGAACCCTGAATATGGATTCATAAGTCAGCTTGAGCCACTCACCTAATTTGTTTTGCATAGCTGGTCTCGATCTCTGATCTCTCCTTGACAAATTTGGTGTACTTCTCCACAAACTCGATCCCCCACTGTGTATGCTTCTCCAAGTTGTCAAACTGATCCTGCAGAAGAAAGAGAAGAAGGAGACAAAATGATTAAATCACTCGAATACAAGGGAGACGGCAATCTGACGCAATCAAGTATACAAGAAACAAGGAAGAGAAACCTCGTGAAAGATGTAATCATCACATGAGGACATTGTATCTGCCTCCTCAACTAAGTCAATCGTGCGTATATGTGTCGGTCAATGCGTTTTATTCTAAACCACTGACCAGACAGAAGCATGTGACCTACTCTCACTGCTCCACAACATACATTCAACACCTGCGACCCTCCCTGGCCTGTGACTGACGTTCTCTAAGTTGCAGATATCTCTTGAAATCCTTCGTATCATCTTTAAGTGCAGCCTGTTTCAGAGGGTGCAGTGTAGCTCATAGTAGAAGCAGACACTTAACAGCCTGATAACCAAATACAGCTGCTGGGGCTGAACTCATTATTAATGATTTGCTCATGACTTGTGAGGAAAAAATGAGCCTCCAGTTGGAGGCTCATTTCATTCATCAGTACATCAGTACAGAACAGTGAGCACTTGCATCTGCAAACACACACACACAAACACACACTCCGGCTAATCTTTACCGACGATCATATGGTTACTTCCAAACGATCATCTCGGAAACAATTTTAAAGATGAACCAAAAACAAAACAACCTTGATGTGACTCCAACAGTCCCCCATCCTCTCCTCTCCCATGTCTGGAGTCCAGCTAACGATTCATCTACACTTCACACTCAGTATGTGAAGTGTCCACCAGCAAAGGTTTCGTCAGATTTTCTCTGAGCAAACCACGTAGATGTGCAAAGCTCGAAGCATCTCTGCACTAAAAGCATGTTCATATCAAAGAGGCAGGAAGCGGTTGTGGCGATGAAAAGTTTCACGAGAGCTACGCTTCAGCCTCCACCATCATGCACTTGGAGGCGTCTTTGCTGAATTTGTTCCTGGAACTGGAGCACTCCGATTATTCAGGACGGTTTACTATCGGAGCCACGTGTCGTTATCGAGTGGGATGAAATCCCCTCAAGACACCTTTTTGAAGCAGCGTTGGCAAATTAAAACGACCCAATCGAAGCACTCAAGGACAACAATGGAGAGCACTTTGAATGGGGAGGCACTTTCCAGTCATGCATTGTTCGGCCGTTTCAATGAGCAATCACTCAACAGCAAGCCACTCAAGATAAAGCCCAACAATAAGACATTTTAACCAAAATAATGAGACTCATCAGCCCCCGTCACACGCTTCTGTTTTTTTTCTACCTTTTTCCCACAACAAGCTCCTCTTTCCCCTTTTAATGCCTGAGAGCATGCTGACGTCTCAGACATAAGTGCAAGTTAAAGTCATCAAACAGCATTGTTTCATTATCACTTGTGAGCACGGCTCACGTCACTGGAGCCACATCATGCACAAACAACCCCCCCGCTCTCTCTCTCCTCCACACACATAACTCTGATTACCCTTTTCTGCAGGGGCAACATCTTATCCAGCGTGTCTCCGTGTGGAACGTGTACCCTTTTGAAATATCCAAATCCAGAAAATGTCCATCAAACTTGCGCCTCCTTCCCACTCCTCGGGAGCAGCACAACAAAAGGCTGAGGTTAGGTCAGAGAAGGCTTCCACGAGACCATTTCCAAGGTATCCCAAGTGCAGATTTGGAACAATGTCCGCTGACTCCCACACAATAACAAAGAGACTGCACAGTTGTAGCAAGTAACTCCACGATTGTCTGGAAGGAGCGAGATATCCCAGAGAGCAGGAGAGGAGCCGATGCGCTGGCTCCCTCTCTCTCACACACACACACACACACACACTGAATCTGAGGCCACGGCTGCCCACAGCATTCAGGCTCAATGCTCCATCAGGCGTAAGGTGGAGTAAGTGGGATGGGGTGAGGAGGATAGTGAGGGAGAGCGGAAAAGCAGAGGGAGGGGGGTTGAAAGGAGGAAAAATAACAGGAGAGGCGGGATTACATGGGAGGGGATTCATTTTAAGAGAGGGGGGGGGGGATTATCCTATTGCTGCTGGGGCCTCGTGAACTCTTAACTTTACCATATTTCAAATAGAATAAGAAGTTTATAAAATAAAGGTTATGATCTGCAACTAGATGAGTCATGAGCTCATGAACCGTTGCTGATATCAGACGGGAGAGAGGTTGCTCGAGTAAAATGGAAAAAAAGACATGAGCAAAGCAATTCTCCAGCTCCGAGAGGAAAAGCTGCTTAATAAATTATGAATGTGAGTGGAGCAAGTATCAAAGACAACAACACATTATGTGAAAGTGTGTCAGACGCAGACTCCGTGGTTCTTTGGATCGACCTCTTGCCATTCCTACTTGTAAAATATCTAGTCATGCAGGTTATGCAGTTGTACATTGAGTATGCAAATCAAACAATGTTGGGTCGGTAATGCTGTCACAGTTGGCTGAACAGTTCCTAAACCCATACTCAAACCTGCAGAGGAATTTTTTGTAAAAACCCCCTCCACACACACCCACACACACACTTAAGACTAATCACTCCTGCTTCAACCCTGACTTCCATTCTGTCATCTGTGGCCTCTGACACCTGACCTTGTTCCTGCAGGAGGGAGTAAGTGGGGGATCCCTTCAGGAAACCAGCCGGCCCCGCTCTGCTTGTTTTTTCAGGACACAACCCCACTGGCTGGGATGCATGTACTATTGTGGTAGTACATGAAAGAATATAAATGGAACAGCGCAGCTAAATACTATTTTTTTTTCATCATCCAGGAAATGGAAAACAGGTTCAAACGGAGAACAAAGGAGACATGTACTGAATGTATGTCGGCTGCCCGTGTGCTGTAAGAAAACAAACGCATGCTTGTTTAAGGATCAGCCTCCTGACCTCCAACCCTCCAACTGCTGATGGAGATTATTGGGGCAGTTTAATGATTTAGACTGCTAGTTAATCTCAACTAATGCACTTTATTTAACGACCAATCCAGATCAAATCTCTTGATTTCACCCACGTTGAGGGCCCATTGACCTGCATCCCCAACACTGAAGTTTCCTCTTTCCTCTCTGCTTGACATAGACAGAGCGCTAACACAAGACAGAGGTGAGCCTGGTGCAGGCAGACTCCGTTTCATATTATTCCCATGTCCTGGTCATCGCATATAGACGTAACAACCAAGAAAAAAGGAATTAAACCAGTACAGATGTTGGAATCTAAAAACTACTGGATTTATTTAACTTTGAAACATCTACAGTAACTGAAGAAGATAACAAATATTTATAACCTTCTGTACGTGTTCATTGTCAGAAAAAAGGTATTGATGCTTGACCCTGAATGCAACGTCCACAATAAAAGCGGGGAACTTGTGTGGATGCAAAAAGCACTAAATAACAACCACTTGAAACGGTCATGTCTGTCCTAGGGAGGATGAAAGATGAGATAGTGAGATCACGGATCAAGACGGATCCGGTGTTGGGTTGCAAAGGACGTGAGCCACAAAGTGAGCAGAACCATTTTACAACAAGGTTGGTGATAACAGGATCGCACTGTTTTTCAAACCTCTGAAGAAACGCTCCTGGGGCCACTTCCTGCTTCATTACGGCCTCAGCACCTCTGCAGAGGTCGGTGTGCTGCTCTGGTGATCACAGTAAAGATCAACGCGCCATTAAAAACACAAGAGAGCAAAAAGGGAGTCGTTTCATTGGTAGACTGAGGGGGTGAACAGGAAACTGCTGACTAATAAAAAATATGTAAATATGGCAGTGAATAAGCCATCAACAAAAAAAACAAGTATTGATTGTGTGACACCCATAGGCCTATATTGAGTGTCAGTAAAAAAAAAAAGAAGGTGGTTTCAGTGTGGTTTTTTTATGCGCTTGTTTATTAGAACCATTATGGTAAACCGATTGTTCTTGCAAAACTAACCCTGCCTCATCGAATGAAGCAAAGCTGTAGCAAAGTGCCCGTTGCTGTTTGAGTTGTTCTAGTAATTATCCAAAGCCTTGTACTTCTTACTGACCACAGCAGAGAGAGAGAGAGAGCGAGAGAGAGAGAGAGAGAGAGAGAGAGATGAGTAAGTACAGCAAGAGCCACTGAAATCCACTGAGCGTCCAGTGGGCGGCCAGCAGCAAGAACAATTATTTGCGTGAGATGCCGAACCCTCTCTCGAACACACACCGCGCTTTGTGCAAGAAAAGCGGTGGCGGAACAAAGCCTCCACAGCCCGGTGTGACCTCCCAGCGCAGGGAGGCGAGTCACAGGAAAAAAGGGGACAGTGGCCTCACACGCGCAAACACGCTCGTGCAACGCACGTAAACCAAGACCGACGGTCATGTGCTTGACCACTGAGTAGCTGCCCTCATATATCTATACGCAAAGTGATTCACAGAAAGAACAAAACAAACGCATGCTCACAGTAAAACTCACACTAACGTACACGCCGACGTTCTGCAGCACTCGAGCAGCTGTTTTGGGGCGGTGGGTGACCTTATGTGTAAGAGCTCTTGTGTGCATACCATGTGGATATTTATAGAAACGACGCCTCTGCCGCTCTGAAATGTAGGTGTGTGTGGTGGCGTGCGCGCACGTGTATCACGCTTCCAGGTCCATAAAGCATTTCTTCCCCATGCCTGCCTGTGCACGACCCCCCCTCCAACCCCCCGCTGTTATTTAATCCCTCCACCGACGTCCATGTCACAGTCGAGAACAGCTTCATGTATGAGTCGCCGGTTCCCTAACTCGATAAGATACACGGCGGTTTGAGCAACAGGAAGTTGCTGTTGTGAGTCATAGTGACTGGAAGGGCGGTCCACTCATTCATGGAATAAACGTACAGAAGCATTCTTTTAGGCTCTGTAAAAGTCCTACAAGCTGGCATCTAACGAGCGTTTGATTTCACAGAGCGGAAACTCTTTTCTTGTATTATTGTGCAACGGGACACCACAGACATTCTGGGACTGGCACACGCCTTCCTTGCTTGACAGATGACGCAGGAATCACTTTACGCCTCCGCTCACTTACGCCACTGGTCATCTTCATCTGCAGCAGCACCTGCAGGTACTCCTCATACGGGCTCAGCGGGGGCTCCTCCTTCTGCTCCTCCGTCTCCGCTTTCACGGAGCGAACACTGTCCATGAAAACAAAAAACTCACTTTTTCGGCGCAACATGGTCTCGATTGTCGTTGCGACAACGAAGTGGGGAAAAAAACCAGGAGCTCCGAAAGAAGTTAATCCATCTCAGAGGAATAAAGTAGGACGGAGGAGGAGCACGGCTTGGTCAAGCAGAGCAGTTAGTAGATTTCAAGATCCTGCATAAAGTAACATATCATGTATCCTGGTAATCCAAGAACACGTTCATCAATCACAGCACACCGAATGCAAGCAGAGCAAAAGGTGTAATGAGAGGGAACAACGGAAATGTTGTAAACAGCGCAGAACTTGATTAAATGACATTGTCCTTAATCTGATTACTACACCTCCCTCCTAACCGCTTTAACTAGCCAATAGGACGCTGCTGTTCTGAGGATTAACCCTGCTGGGCCAGCAGACACACATTAGCCATTGTTCCTGTTGAGCTGTTTTTCTTCATTTTGGAGGATAAAGCTCTTTAAATCTTATACAATGCATTCTCTGGAATTAAGGAAAGCGCTGAGTGAACCGCAGCGACACTTCATGTACCAAACTGCAACAGCAGGCCGTCGGCTCGTTTATTCGGTGAGCGGGTTGGAAGTCATTTGTCTGAGATAGGCCGTCTCTTGATAACTTTATGTGGATGTGACGACTGAAACAAAAGGGGCATTGATGGAGAAATGAATCAGTATCGGTACAATTGCACCGACTGACCTGATGTTTGTATCTGCCAATATTAGCTTATTGCTGATGTACTGGTATCCATGATATATGTCAGCCGGTAAGTAGCAAGAAATTGCAGTAGATATGACTGACTGGTGTTGAGGTCTGTCCTTGAGACATTTTTCCTTGTTAAAGGGGTTTTTCGAGGGAGTGCTTCCTTATCAGAATCAAAGGTCTGAGGACAGACGGTATGCCGTGCAGATTGTGAAGCCCCTTGAAGCTAATTTGTGGTTTTTGTGTTATTGAGCTATGAATAAAACTAACTTGACTAGATTTTACTTTATTTTCCAACTGTAAAACTTACCGTCAATACGTATCTTGGTCTTAATTCTTGAAAATCGAAAGGATCTGTATGGAGAGTAGGCATGTCACAACAATAATTACTGTAGGCCGTACCATATACGGAGATGACCTCAATCATTGTAGCCGACCTCGATATTGCCCGTTGTGTTTACGTGCATGTTTCTTTACTTAAGACAGCATTTTAGCCAACATGACAATGAGCAGCAGGGTTTTTCATGCCATAATAAGACTTAGGCATCAGCGCAGGATGTTGTTTATTAATTTAAGATATTTACATTTTTTGTTCACATTCCACTGGCTGAATACCTTTAAGAATTAAAAGTGAATTGCTGCTTGAAAGAGTGTACTTGCATTATCATTCTATTATATTGTCATTAAATCAGTGGCATGAAATGGTGTTAAAATGACAATAATATTGTTTGTTGCATAATTATCATTATTTCATATATATTAACATATTGTTCAACAACATCAGTCATCGTGACGGGCCTAATCAAGAGCGACATCAGCTCCGAAAACCGAGTATCTGTCGGGGTACACCATGTTCTCGTCGACTAGATAAACGTCAACACATGGCATGAAGCGTGGTAACGCTGAGGGGAAAAGTTACTGAGCGGGAAGAATGACACATAAGCAAACAGCGCTAGCTTGTAATTAAGTCTGCTGGCGAACACCATGGTCGTAAATGACAGACTAGATTGAACACATTTCATGTGGTTTACACTTAGACACAACTGATGTGACTCGCTCACAGTTTCAGTCCATAAATAGATCTTCCTTGTACTGTCAGTGTCATATAAGGCTTCTGCTTCTTCTGCAGTCGCTCTTTGTCTCACTACACCTACAGTTTAATAACTCAGCTTCAGGCGACAAAAGTCAAATCCCTCCCTTGAGGATCAAATCTCTCCATCTGGTTATATGCCAACCCTGTATTGGACTTCTCTTTTGAGTCTCAGACCACTTGTTTCTCCTCCAGGTAAACAAAGAGCGTGGTACTCGTCCGCGTTGCTGATGCAATGTATTCCCCTGCTCACTGCAAAAGCTCACCTAAACGTAGATACCGCAGAAAGGTGCCATAAGTCGTGCGGACGTGTACGGTCGGTACCGCCAATGAGCGGGGGTTGCTATTTTTAACCACAGCATTGTGTTTCTCCTGAATGGTCTGCTGATGTTGGACACAGATAAACACAAAGCTGTAGTGGTTGATGGCATGCTTTCCTCCAGACAAAGCTATGGTAAAGGGAACACTACCTCATTCCCTGAGGAACTATTGAACACCAGAAGTAAAAGTTCAGGGATGACGTTGTGTCTGTAGGCCAAACCGTGAGTTAGCATCGCACTGGTTCCATCGACAAAAAATGATTCCTTTGGGACTCATTCTTTCAGCATTCTTATTATTTTCCCGAATAAGAAAACACTTCAATGAATGCATGAGAGTTAGGGTCTCGGCATGGACGACGTCATGTCTCCTACTACATCTGCTGTATTAGCTATTTGAGCTCCTCGGCTGCTTTTATTCTACTGGATGAAGAGCAAACACTTTAACAGCCCACAAGGACTCTGAGACCGCAGTTTTATCCTCTTTTGCAAACAAAAGGTTTTTGCGCTGATGCTCGAATATTTGCAATCCTTCATGCTTATAGGGGGTAAAGGCCTCAGAGGACTTGTGATACAGAAGTACTTTCACTGTATCACCTAAATTAGCTGAAATATCTATATGGGCTTTTTTTTTTTTTTCAGCTGGCAGCATTAACAGTTAGTTCTTCAGGCGGTCTGAACAGGGTTGCAGCACTTTCACTTCACCCTGACACGCCTCATCTCAGGATATGAGTAAAGATGGGCTCTTAAGAGGCGGCCTGACACAGCAAGCAGGAAACTCATCTCGGAAAGATTTCTCAGTTCAATTAAAGCCCTTGTCTGCGTGAAGGCTGCACCCGCTTTTCTATGCTTATGTAGAGCACACCGTGAGGTAACACCGACTCGGAGAGACGTGTAAACGTATTAACTTTGCGAGGAAGTCTGTCTTCTTTGTTACATGAAACCACAAACTCACCAGAGGAAGTGATGGATATCATTTCAAATGCCATCTACTGCCAAAGCCAGTTACTAACACAATCAACCTCTCTGTCTGGCATCATGGACACTAACTGCCCTATTATAAATAACGTCTAAATGAAAGATATTCCAGCTAAAGCAAAAGAAGGTTTTGACAAAGCATCCTGCAGAATGGAGAGCATTACCAGACCACAATGATGCAGTGTCACTGCCACTGTGCCTCCTCCAGCCCACACAGCCTCTGAACAATCACACAAATGTGAGGTTCATTCTCCCGCCCTGTGAGGACAAAATCTGAGCTGAGAAACCGCAAACAAGCTTTTATTTTGAAGTAACACACGATCGCAGCCATTAACGGTCACTGAAAAAGGCAATCACAGGAGATGGGGAAAGCTGGTGAGTCGGTGTGATGAAAGCAGAGAGAAGGAAAGAAAGAAACGGAGCCAATGAGGAAATGTGAAGCGAGGCGGGAGGGGGCTGGAGAGCCGGACACGTCTTCAGCAGCGAGAATATTTTCAAGCAGTGGGAGAGAAATGTGTGGAAGCCGCAGGGCGGCACGAGGCTGTTCTCATTACGGCTCTGACTCATTTCAATTAAAGCAGCCGTTCCACATGGTACCGACCATGTCTACTGACCGCATCTGGTAGGTAGCCCCTCAACATGAAGAGATTTCAGGAAGAACAGGTCCCTGCTGTCCCACACGCAGCGAACCCACCGCGGCTTGGCCTCAAGAAACATCCATTCCATCCAACATAACGGAGCTAACAAAATGTACACAAGCATCTCACACACACATGCAGCCGGTGTGTTTGCAAGCATGCTGCAGCAAACATCTGTGCTGTCACATGCGTTTGCTTTGGGGATAATAAGTCATTTCCTATAGCACACAGAACACAGGTATGACTCCTGAGGCTCGATACGTTACAATTTAATTAGAATTCAACTCAATATTACAATCAAAATTAAAGTTTTGGTAATTTAGTTTTCAGGACCATCACTACTTGTTTATAAGCTACACTGTTTTGTTTAAAATGAGGCTCACTTAGACTTGAAAGCATTAGTAGTTTCGTGAAAAGAGGTTGTAGCTCTTTGTTCATCCTTCACCTTGAATGGTTGTAAAACGGTGCTATAGTGTTCCTCCATTACTCTGCCGGGGGAAACTCAATGCTGTTAAAGCCAAAGGAACAATCGACACTTACAGTGTGTTACAGTAATTAGCAGAACACGGACGGCTGCGGGGCTCAGGTGACGTTATGTCAGAGCGACGGTATACGGCGGTATGATGTCCGCTGTTACAGCAGCCGTGATTAGAGGCTGACTTTACAAATGACAGACTACAGATCAGAGGCTGTGACAGTCTGTGACGGGAAGGACTGAGTCACCTCCACGCATTCAGAAACCAGCTCAAAACGCACCTCTTTAGACTGGCGTTTGGGTAAAACCCATGTCCTAAGACCTGCTTTTAAACCATGTTTTAATTTTGTATTTTCTGTGTATGTAAATTATTGGCCCTATGGTCACATTGTGTTTTTCATGTTTGTAATTTCTGCCCTGTTAAGCACTTTGTGACTCATGTCTGTGAAAAGCGCTTTATAAATACATGTTACTTGCTCACGAACTTACCTTCTCATGGACAAGATGAGTGTTTAGGGAAGCGGGAGGATTGCAGAACAAGAACATCTCAATGTGCCCAATCATTGGGTGCTTTTTTTTAAAAAGCAGAGGAAATGCCTGTTACAACTTCCTGGTGATGTCATCAAATCTACCAACAGTCCGAAGCACAAAGATAATCAAATGTCAAAGCATATTTGCTTTAAAACTGAAATTTAATTGAATTAATAAAAAGATTTTTAAAATGGCAGATTTTTCTAATTAATGAATAATTTAAGCTTAAATGTCAGGGGATAATTAATTGGATGCATCTTAGGTAAACAGAACGTACTGAGAGCCGTGATGAACAGGTTTCCAAAGATGAATATGGACTGCATATGTGTTTGTCAACAACATACTGAAGACTTGGTACATTCGAAACTCTAGTGTGTGAACCTCACCTGGTTCAATGAGTTCTATCTCTAGCCAGACTAAAAAGCAGAGGTAGTGTAAGGGTACGCTAACAAAGGGCCGGACACAACAGAAATGCCTTTATTGTTATTCATCCGTCTGAATACCTCCGCCCCTCCACTGTCCTCCGTTCTTTCCGCCTCTAGCTCCCCGCGGTGCGGTCGGAGACCCGCGGCTCTGATGTGGATACATTCATCACTGTTTTACTGTCATGGTGCTTTCACAGAAAGAGCTGAGGAGAAAATGGGCTCGGGGTGGTATCACTGAGTCAGCAGGTGGGTGGCGATGAGTATAAGATTTAGTGGGGGGAGGAGGGGATGTCTGTCACCCCCCCCCCCCCCCCCCCTTCCCCCCTCTGACTTCAGCACCATGACAGAGGGAAACAAACTAGCTCAGGTTTCAGCCCTGGAAGTGCCCTGAATGTCAAGTGAACGGCAGGGGAGGAGGCTGGACCTTGGGGGGGGGGGTCTGAGCCAAGATGGGATACAAAAGCAGAAAGCACTGAGGAAATCTCAGTCTAACCACAAGCTGTTTTTAAACTTATATTACGGGAGATCCGCCCTGATATCTCGCTGTTGGGAACTCACGACTGAACCCTCCCCACCAACAAAAACTAAAAACATAAGGTTTTGATTGAACTTCTTAAGTCTGCGCCCCGCCGGCAAAGTCTGGAGCCCCACTTAATGACATGAGAGAAAACAAGTGGTATTCAGAAGGCCTCTTCAGACAATAGCACTTTCCCTTCTCCATTACATCAGGGCCGATGGCTGGCAGATAGCAGCGTGGCTACAATTACAAACACTGCAAACAAACGGCTCTCAAGCTGTCCCCAAAGACAAGACAGCGACACACATTCACGCTTCCTCTGCCGCTGAACAAACAAAGTACCGCACCATTTGGACAACGAAAATAAAAGCGAGGTTCAGTCAGGGGGCCGCGCGTTGCGGGGGCCAATCTGCCTACTGTTTCAAAAGCCAGTGCTGAAGGAGCCCCGTGCAGTTCAAACTCACCTTAAGCTGCTGCTCTTTCACTAGAATTTCTACCTTGTCCATGCTGCCTCGTCAATACGTGTGTGTGAGAGGAGGAGGCGCTTTTACGTCCCACGGACTGTGACGACTTAGCGGTCCCCTACGTGCAACTGTGAGAAGAGCCGCTTGCGTCCAGTTCCCAAAGGAACCACAAGAGAGAAGTGAAACATTCAAGGTGTGTCAGAGTGAAAAGGTGTAGTGGTCACTTTGTTTAAGGCCAGAGAGATCTTTCATTTTAAGCTACTGTGCTGGTGATATTTGGTCTGTGTGTGTGTGTGTGTGTGTGTGTGTGTGTGTGTGTGTGTGTGT